CTTTGATTGATTGTTCTGATTGAAAGTACCAGTAAATGAGTTGCCAGAATTTCGCAGAAAATTTGCTTAATAGTAGTAAATATTTTGTAAGGTTTCCTCTAGTGCTTCAGACCAATGTTTGTCTTAATAGTGCGACTTTACTTTTTATAATACAGAATATCACGCATTTCCCATGAACGAATCGACTCCATACCGAGATTCCAATAAATAACAGACAGTCAAAATTCCACAACCAGGCAACTAACCGATAGTACAATATCGAATATCAACTCTTACCTGGAAATCTATCAAGATCCCATTTCGGTATTTTCGTCACAATGTAATCTAAACTTGGTTCAAAGCAGGCGGTTGTTGTTCCTGTCGTGGCGTTCTGAAATAAAAATATCCGTATAACGATTTGTTACATCAATTTTGTTTTGCAGTCAATGGTCTGACGAATTTTCAGATACTAAGTTGGCAATTCTCACAAGGAAAAAGTTATTTACACTTTCTAAGAATTGTCATTCACCAAGCTGCTTTCCTGACAATGTTGCATTCTCCGTGTGCGCCGGTACCCACTGACTTTTATATACAATTTCTGAAAATATATGCAGCCCTTGCTGTGCCAGTGGTCGCTTGCAAATTCTGCATACTCTATAACTATGAATAGTCAAATATTGGTTCGTACGAAACTTGATAGATACATCCAAAATTGTTGTTGAACATATACTTGCAAAAAAGGCAAATTTGGTATATATATCACAACTTCGACCCTTACCTTCAATTCTGGAAGAGTGATTCCAAGACTTAATTTTGCTGCGATGAAGGCCAACGGATACCCAGTAGCTTTAGATGCCAGAGCAGAACTTCGAGAAAGTCTGGCGTTCACCTGTATAACGATATAAAAAATGAAATCAATAAAGGTGTAATTCAACGATCAAATTAAATCCAACTTTGAGATTCAATCCAAAGTGTGTATGATCGTGGCAATGGGTGGCCGTGGTTAGGGTGGCAATAACTAAATTGGTACTACAAGTTGAAGAACTCTGGATTAAGATTATCAGATCGGTGGAGCGGCAAACCAATTCCATTAGCTTCACATTTTTAAGATAAAGATGAGAATATGTTAATAAAAAAAAACTCCGTTTTACTATTTTAAACTTTCTGCCAAGAGCTTTCAATCTAGCAGCGCTACACAATGATAACACTTAATCTGTGATTTTAAATCTTACGGTTGTAAAGCACCGATTCAGCATTCAGTATATTATTCAAATCACGAATGACACTGACCTCAATAATACAATATTCCAACGAGTTTGGATCAAGTGCATATTGAATATTGCACTCTCCAACGATTCCAAGATGTCTGATACATCTGATCGCGGTCTCTCGTAGCATATGATATTCCTGTATATTGTAGAAATCAAAGATGTTTATGATAATATACCTAATTTTCATTCTATTAATTCGCATTTACAGATAGATTGCAGACATGTGACCACTTGATTGATAAACGATCAAATGGTACAAGCTCGATATTTTCAACTGCGTGTGAAGATCACTTATACTTGAGTCAGTTTTATAATTAAATTTCAATTTCACTACAGGCAAACGATGTAGCACACTGTTGATATTTCACTATAGTTCGTTGCCAAAGATATTTAAAAGAATAACATCAAGCCCAATTTCAATGAATTAGGCGCCATACCTCATTTGATAACGTTTGACTTGGAGCGACCACAATAGATTCACCAGTATGGACACCAAGTGGATCAAAGTTTTCCATGTTACATACTGTGATGCAGTTATCAGCAGCATCCCGTACCACCTGAACGTGAATAGAAATTGATTTTATTATGATCTGAATATGAAAGACTATGAGCTCCGCATATGGATTATTATCGCGGATTGTCATTTTATCACGAGAAACGGGGTTCGAGAAACTTGCCACATCAGTGGTACACGTAGATTTATTATCGCATTACATGGCTTTTCGCATTTACATACTTTGGTCGGATAGAAGCCGGAAGACGGAAGCGTACAAAAGTACGAACAATTTTACAGCATTGATCGAATAGTATTAATATTTTTTTGCATTCGTAGTATACTGTACACAAGGAGTTGTTTTGATTTGATTCTTGAATTGCTAAATTTTCGCTACGTTACCTCGTCCAGACACAATGTTTTATCTGGATTGGAGGATCTTTTCAATATGAATCAGCTTCACCGATGGACCAAATTTTTTTCACTAATTATCCTCTATGAAAGTTTGTAACAATGAATGAATGTACAAAAATTTCAATATCAATATGTAATTTCTAAATCTGACCTCATATTCAACTTCTTTCCATCCAAGAAGTGATTTTTCAACCAATATCTGGTTTGTTGCTGCAAATGCATTGTGTGCCATGGATTTCAACTCCTCAGGATTTTTACAGATGCCAGATCCTAGTCCACCAAGCGCATATGCAGATCTTAAAATGCAAATATTTAATGTGAAATTAATGAAAAAAAATTTCATAATTTCTTATAATATATATTATTTTACATAGGTAATAATGACATCACCATTCAGCGCGTTTTTTTGCTCCTAGCAAGGTTCTGTCAACACACCCAATTTTGCCAAGCATTATAGACAAGAACTCAGAGAATAAATTTTGTATTCAACCGCACACAAAACAAGTTTAAAACAAGCGTGGCATAATTGTCTTAATTGATAGTCATCGGATTTAATCGAAAATTATTCAAAGTACCCCACATGTAATAGCTGCGTATGGTAAATACTATGGTACTCCAATTGGTATTCGTGGTTCCTACTCGAAAGTTTAACGCAAATTTTCAGATAAAAAATCAAATCAACTGCATTTTGAAAAACTGAGATAAAAAAAATACCTAATCATAACAGGGTATCCAATTTTTTCCGCGGCCTTCAAAGCATCTTCCAACGATTCAACTGCAACACTTGGAGCAATTTTTTCTCCAATTTCATTCAGTTTATCAGCAAATGTTTGTCTATCTTCTGTCGCCATTATACTCTCAACTGATGTTCCAAGAACCTAAAATTTAACGACAACGAGAAATTTATAAAAACTACAAAATCTAGTTGTAATATGAGTTGTTGATAAAATTAGGGTTTAGTGTTATTTGTTGTTAAAATCGTCGTGCAACTCAATAATTTTTTTACCAATCATTCATATGTTGTTGTTTTACTAATCAAGAACAAGGAATGGCATATTAGTTACCTTGCACGAATATCCATATAATAATTTATATATATATATATACTGCTAATATATCATTAACACTAATTGATGCCGTCTGAAAAGCAGAAGTTATTTATACATTGGGAAATTGAGGACCATTAGATCTCAATAAGACCTAGTGCAGATTATTAGAAAAAGCAACTTTGACAGTGTACTCGAATAACGTTAACAACGACAAAATTGGCAAATGGCAAAATGCGAGTACAGTTGTACCTTTACTCCATGTTCTTGCAAAAATCCTTCGTTATAAAGTTCCACACCGCAATTCAACGCAGTTTGGCCTCCCATGGATAACAGGATACCGTCTGGCTTCTGTTCCAAAATGACTTTCTTGATAAATTCTTTTGTGACCGGGAGAAAATAAACCCAGTCAGCCTGTTTATCTCCGATTTCGTTGGTTTGCACTGAAGCGACATTGGGATTCATCAACACCGTCTCGATGTTTTCTTCTTTCAAAGCTACAACAGATTTAAATGATATCGAGTTACTGGCAATATTATACAAAACTTTAAAAACATATGCACAATAAAAGTTTGCTTTTGTACGCGCAGTTCATTAGAATATAGAGTGTTACCGAATCTCAAGTAATTAAGGGTTGACAAATAATATCAGTTCCGCCACATTTACTTGATTTGTGTGTGAAGTGACAACGAACTGACTGGGACTTCAGCTCCCGATTTTCAATCTTAGTTGCAAGTATAATCTAAAATCGCTTGTATGTTGTATAGAAACTGACCTTTCAAAGCTTGTGATCCGGAATAATCAAATTCACCAGCTTGTCCAATAGATAATCCACCTGATCCAAGAACCAAAACTTTCTTAACATTTATTCTTTCAATATTTTTTGAAGAATTTGCCGTTACTGAGAAAATAATATGTAAAGTTTTGAGACTGAGGTATACATCAAAATATGAATGTAGAGCACCTACAAATTAGTGAATTATACATCACTTTACTTACACGAGTACAGACTCGCATTTCGATCTTTCATCATATCAACAAAATAGTCGAATAGGAATTTCGTGTCCGTAGGCCCACCACATGCTTCTGGATGAAACTGAGAAGTGAATATCGGACGCTCGGTATGCATTATGCCTTCATTTGTTAGATCATTTGCATTCACGAACAATGGTCTCCATTCATCGGGAAGTGAATTGCTATCCACTGCGTATCCATGGTTCTGGTAGAAAAGATTAAGTCTGGTATTAAATCAAATATTTTAAAATTGAAGAAAAAAGACTTTAAAATACAACAGAGTATAGGAACAAGCACAACAACAAGTCATTGTCGATCATCAATTTTGCGAACGAGCGCGATTGCCATAGCAACGTTAAAGCGCTGTACTAACCTATGCTGACATCGCATGTCACTTATTTCGTATTCAAACTTCATGCCCACCACCTCACTCAGGGTGGGCAATGAATACCGAACCGATTGATTCCGATCGTTACAAAAATAGTATCTCCTTATATACATATCAATGAATCTCGAACAGATGTTGTTTGGAGGGAATAGCGTTAAACATCGTTGTGCAAACACACTCTAGCTATCTCATGTGAGGTTTTATTACGTTTAGCAGTTTGGTAATTTAAGCCTATCCTTCGGCTTCGAGATAAAGTTTTTGGATTCTGTCTTGAATTGCGCCGACAGCTCAAGCAGGAGCTTATATTACCTGTGGGGTTATAATTGCTTCTCCAGTCAGTAAATTTATGACCGGTTGATTCTGTCCACGATTACCCAAAGCTAACTTGTAGCAATCTCCGCCAGCTGCTAATCCTAAAATCTGATTTCCCATGCATATTCCACACACAGGTTCTGGTCTTTTCATGTCCAAAATCTAAAATAAACAACAACATTTTCATTGAATACGCCGCTCGTTGATTAAACATTCCAAATTTAAGTTTTATTTCAAATATAAAAAATACTGATAAATTACTGTTGAATCGTATGAGTAAACATTATGCCTTGTATGCCTATCGATTCACCCATCTGCGTGATGTGATTCTCAAAAACAAGACGTTTTAAATCATGAATATTAAAATATAAAGCATGTAGAACCGTAACTGTGGGCTCATTACCCATAGCGTAACATGCACATAAAAACTGAAATCAAATTAAACGCAAATCGACAAATGCAACTAGCATTTCAAAGTAATACGGCCGTAACTATTTTTTAGACATTGAAACTATTTAAACCTTGTCAGTTGCAACATATATCGAGATTCCAGCGGACTTTTGACCAATCCTGGATTGATTTTTTTGACAGTCTAATAATCTAATCTAAACGATTCTTAAACCCGTATAATATAAGTGACCTATAGTTATACCCGTAATAGCACGACATTAGCTTTGGTTGTATCACGAAAAGCCGTCATTTTTTTGGCAACTAAACCAAATTTAAATGGCAAAGCACTTCTGCGTAAATAAGATTCAATGAATAGTTTGGACAAGAATTTAGATTCTATTACGCAGCCTAGTAGTCCAAGAATTAGCGCTACCGCAATGGCGTATAATTGAATGTGAATAAAGTGTATCATTTACTTCGATCTCAGTGTCGTTGAGTTAAACACCGAGTTAATGATTAAAATGATCTATTATATTTTACACATGTTGCATTGCCTTATAAACATTGGGTTTGAACGAATTTTAGAGTTTCCGACAACCGCCGTGGTCTGGTTCACATCTCCAACATTAATTTACCAACCTTCCTCATATGAGTGATAGTCTCAGGGGCCATTTCGGGATCACCCGGTCCGTTTGTAATGAACAAACCATCGTATTCTTCTTCAGTATAATCATAATCCCAGGGCACCAAATGAACTTCCACATCACGTTCTATCAAACATCTTATAATGTTATGTTTTACTCCACAATCGACAACAATAACTTTATACTTGTTTCCTCTGCCATAAACCTGCATCAATAAAAATTATTTTATTTTTATTTTGTAGTTATTCTACTTGTATTTGCATACAATTAAAAATTGTGAGTATATGACAACTATCGCCAAATATTTCCAAATTACCCTACTAATTTAGGATGTTATGACCTCGATTCATCAGCGTGACAAGAAAATAGAGCCGGAGTATTGAGTGTTCCGACTCTACAGATTTACCAAAACCAAGCCAGGCTGTTGAACACTGCTTAAGGTTTTTTGTTGCAATTCAAGTTTATAGATTTTCCCCGAGCATTGCCTCTCTGTTTATTTCCGTAACATTGACTAATTATGCTGGTAGTTAAATATTTTAAATCAAAAACATGGTCATGAAACATGTAAACCAGTTTGTGCCTGCCAACTCACGGAAACGCTCTAAAAAAGCATAAAAGTCAAGTATAGGAAGAATTTTACGGGGCCCATGGTTAAGGAAACATCACATTCTACCGGAATATACGAAATCGAAAAAAAATCGAAATTGAAAATTCCTAATTAACCTACTTTTTTGGTCGTGATAGATAGACCTTTTTGCATATTCGTATAATTCGGATCAAAATAATCACAGGTTTGACCATCAAATTCAATTTTCGCCAACATTGATCGCGCCGTCTCGTATAATTTTTGTCAGCATTCTTAATAAAGATTTGATGGTAATTAAAAGTGCTATTAGTTCACATCTGTAATTTGTAGGGCTATGTGAATAAAATAAGTATGATTTTAACCAAATCGATATCGATGACTTTCTCGGTTAAAAACAAATATACATTTAGCATCATAAATTGTATTGAATTGTATCAAATTCCAGATTTTCAGGCATGAACCATCCAATTAAGTAACATCTCTACTTAAAAGAGTCAAAAATAAGCCAAAGGTTAATACGATGTGATGATCACTACACGTTTTTCTTATTTTACTTCCATGCTTTTCGAATTGATAAAGGCGTAATCTGTAATATGTTAACATTGAACTAAAAATAATAAAAAAAGACTCTGTTGGAATATACCAAATAGGATTTCGAATATTTCGAATTTATGCATATTCCAAAGTAATCTTACTATTCCCGAGGTATCGCACGCTTCCTTACAATCTACCACGTTTTATCCGATAAGTCCGCTTATCTTTCGCCAATGAACCGTTATAATTCTGATATCAAGAGATTTTTACACGCGCATTGCCGAACTCGTTCAAATATATTTTTGGGCCAATGTTCATCGTCCGCATCCACTTGCAGTCGATATACAGGCAAGTTTGGGAACCACTATTTTAGGGCTAGGCCACATTAGACCCATTTATCGTTGGTATAATAGATGTTTGTTGTACATTAGCTGTTCCGCTAGTTTGAATACACTGTTTTATTCATAGCTTCATATTCCGCCTCCTGTCCAGTAAGCAAGTCTCATATCTGGAACCGGCTTACTCAGGAAAGTAATTGTACACCCCCTGCTTAGACGGTTTGCTTCATTGGTCTATTGCGCTCATACAAAAGAAAATACCCGTCACACGAACAAAGAGAAAATACCCGTCGCATTCGAAGGTGAGACCGAGACATTGACACGACACAATAATAATGCTGCGAAGCGTGAATACGCGTTGCGTATAATAAATATTAAAGTGTATTATAATATTAAACACCGTCCCTCGTTTCCACGCAAGCTTTGTACGCTAAACATGAACGAATTATCCATGGTTCCAAGACAAAATAAGCACGCAACTTAAAAATAAGCACAAATCTTAGAAATAAGCACGACATGGTAACCCTGGATAAATGATACGAGTCTATCAATTACTCGAAATTCTTTATTTCATACCCTGTGTATATAGGTTAGTGTTACAGTCATAGAATAAATACAAGCTAAATAAGAATACCTTGTATCGATTCCCCACAAAGCAGGAACATTTTCTTCTTTCAGCCAGTCAGATAATGTTTTCGCCATATTCCAGTGACTTGGATGTCGAGAGTAATCTTGAACAATCAACCCGGATACCTGCAAAAAAAGAAATCCCCAAATAATCAAAGAAATATTAAGCTAGCAAAAAAGATCACAGCTGTTGGCGTTTTATTAATACTCAGCGTTCAGCTATGGAATCCAACAAATAACTGAAATTTCAGAGCTTTCCAATAAAACGCGGAAGTCATTGGTTATATCTACGAATGGCTAGAAGTTACAGTGGGTTACATATACCCATGTTGATAGGATATAATTAAAACATACGATGTGTATCACAGATATAAAATAATACAAAAATCTTATTACGTGTATTTTCTCGGATTCTACGTTCTTAAGCAATCCCCATTTATCACGAGCTTTCGTGTCAGGGACTCCATAATTCCCGATGATAGGATAGGTTAGATTCAATATTTGGCCAGCATATGAAGGATCCGTCAGATTTTCCGGATACCTGGTTAGAAAATAATAAATACGTTTCGTATAATTGCCATTTGCTGATATATGCGGATATATAGACATGCTGTCCATAAAGTCTTCTTGCAAATTGAAAATTTTATTACAAAGTCAAACGTTAAATTTTCCAAATTGTTAGGATTTCTTAATTATCGTCCAATCAGTTAATGTTACTCTGAAACCTTAAAGCTAGTTAATGTGCCTACCCAACAAGTCCAGTGTTGAAAACAATTTCTCCAGATTTCGAGTTTTCTGCGCCGAAAGACCAGCCTTTGAATCTGTGAAAACATTATTAAGAGTATATAGACGATCAAGTACAAATTTAAATACAACTAGTAACACAACATGCTAGGAGAATGATGTCAAATTTTTGTCTCCTAAGGTCCAATAGTCTGACAAGAAGCTTTTATTAGTTAATAGTTAAGAATAGGTGGATAGGTCCCAATAGCTCCCTAGAAGGCCATAATTGAGCTGTGATATAGGAAACCGTTCTTTATAAGACAGGTCATATTGTCAATCAAGTCAGTTATATGTAGAACTGTTTTTTATTTTACATGATTTCCAATTTTCTTTAGCCGGGCGGAAAACTCAGTCACTTGTAATTGAATTATGCCTCACTTCAAAGACGACCAAATAATTCAATCTTGTTCAACTCAGCATTCTTCAATCGTTGAATGCTTCATGAAAATCAAAGATAATGAAATCTTGCGATCCCAGGTGAACTCGTTTTACTTTCGACAGAGAGTCAACTTTTTGAGGCGTATTTAATATGATAATACCAAAAAACTTTGTTAGAGAAAAACTTTTAAAATCACAGTATGAAAACTATTGCAGTTATATAAAAGTTATTTAGGCGCAAAATTTAGTCGAACTTTCCATGACTATTCGTGATTTTGATATCTAACCATGCCTGATGAACTACGAAGAACATGTTGATTATGTAGTGTTTTTTATACCAATAATTGTCTGTTTGTGTGAAATGGTAAAATTTTATAAAATTCATCAGGGAGGTAATGTCACGTTAACATCAAATCTTTGCCGTACATCCATTGAAAGATAAAATATATAAAGCCATTTTATTAGATTGACTAGAACCAGACAATTCACCAATTATAATTCGTTTTTGAAAAAAAAACCTGAAAGGATGTTCAGTTATAGCCTGACGTTGATAATCTAGCCCTATCCTACTTACGTTTCTCCATTCTCAAGGACCAATCTTGCTTCAACACCTTCACCGAAATCTTTACTAGCAGAAGTGCTTTTCCTCGAGATAGAAACAGAACTACCAGCTTTGAATTTTTCCGAAAGCTTCATTCACCCACTGCTTAGTAGGTAGTTTCGCTATACAGCTCATTTTCAGAAATTAATAAGGTCATAAAAGTCAACTATGTAAGCTAACGCATATACGAACGAACAGAAAGAGACATAGCATGTTAAAGTTTCAGTTAACAATTATGACGACATAGAGAGTTTTCACTAGTTCGCATGTTGCTTCATAACGAGTACTAAATTTGACGTTGCGCAATACTCGATTTCAATCAGATTTTAAGAAGGGTTCAGTTCCGAACAGCGAATAGGAGATGACTGCTGTTGCGGTCATGATACAACAGCAGCAGCTTTAGCCGGGTCTATCGCAGCCTTTTCGGGACAGATTTTTTTTATTATTGCAACTAAACTTAATCTCTTCGGAGGACATAATGAAAATCAAATTTTGGAAACACAACTGATAAATGACAAACGAGCCAATGTTCACAACTATGCTTGAATATCTGTCTGGGCGAAAGAAGTGTCTGAAGCGACTATACAGATACAGATGCTCGGGGAATCATCCATATAGGATTTGAAATGAGCACGAAAGTAAACAAACTTGAATGGCAGTGAAATGTCAGTTTTGAATTAATTCCTGCCTCTCGAACTGCACTCGTTTCAATGCAGTTTCTAAGTATCCCTCTGGTTCGAATTCTATGAAATCGCTTTAAAGAATCATCAAACTCAAGATTCCAACACAAAAAGTAGATCGACAAACTGCAGTATGTATCCATCCTATCGAATATATATAATAAGTATATTGATTAGTAGCGCTGTTACTAATATACTCCATAATTTTATCATCGTCCCATTTTTCCATCATTGAAACACTATGTAAGTTTAGTGCACTTTTTACTCTAAATCGATACCTGCACGTTTGAGCATACACAAATCAGTGTTGCAAAATCTTCGCTCCCAATCTTACGTGTCCAAATGGTAAAGATGCAATAGTCTACTATTTATATAATACATATTGTTGCTATACCAAGTACATAACACTGCATCTGAAGTGGCGCCATGCTGTGGGTTGTTATGAGAAGAGATTTTGTCTCGCACTTATTCGGTATTGCGTCAGACCGATACGCCGGCCGGTGTATGATGAAATACAGTCAGTACTCAGTACTTTATTTTATCACAAGCCGAATGTAAACATTGACAAACAAAATTAAGAAATTGCAATTCAGTGTGAAGGAGACGCGATAAATCAGAGATGGTTATCGAGCAGGGTCACCTTTGAGGCAGTGACTCTAATATTAAATCATAATGAGAAAGAAGTCAAACATAAGAATATACACAAATACACTTTTAAAAAATGTGTAATTTGAAAATTCAACTAAGACAAGAACCAAGGACAATTTAAGGCGCTATATGTACTGTGTTCTAAAATACATTTAACTGCGAAATACAAAAATAGTAATAAAAACATGCATTCACGATTATTAAGTATCTTTAATAACATGTAATGCACCTTCGGTTTTAGGACTAACATTGAATTGACCAATAGGTTGTAAAAGTACAAATTATCATCAGAAGCATAGTTGTAGAATTTTAAAATATGGATTCAATATTTTGGTGCTCCTAAGTATTCGTACCAAGATGGCGCCACAACCTGAACATAGTATGTGTACCAGGTTAGGGTTGTTCAGGTTGTGCGTCATCTTGGTACGAATACTTTCGGAGCGCCCAACATTTTTCCTACACTCGCAAAAAACGTCATTAATTACAGTCCTGGAAATTACAATTAAAAATAAAAATGTAAACTCGCTCTCTCATAAAATGGTTTTGCATTGATCACGTTACAGGCAAATGAACCTATGCAAGACATTAATATTGAACAGGTTGTCTCCATAATCACAGAATATTAATACGAGTGGGTTATGATCAACCCTTTCAACCGTCCAAATACATTTGTTCAAAGAGAAAAAATTATTCTGAAAATAACGTTAAACGTTTCTTATTTAACATAGCACAAGTTTAAATAACGCAATACGAATGGAACAGGTATAATTGCGTCATTCGCTTTGGCGAACAAATATGAAGCGCCAATATTATATATTATTATAGTTTGATTTTATCTTTATAAGACAATATTATTAAGCCACATGTTTCAGATCTAACATAACACTAGTTTATAACGTAAAACCTATGAAACTTCTGAAGATTGTTCACGGAGTCTCTAACATTACAACTCTTTTCTACATTTCTCTCTTCCTTGTACTATGTTAGATAAATTAAAAACAATAACAAATTGCGAAATCGTCTATTTTACCGTACTCCTTCCATATGTCTAATGAATCTAGTAAAACATTGCGTGCGTCAATTGGATGACGAAATATTACATGTCTGCCTGAACATAGTATGTGTATCAGGTTAGGGTTGTTCAGGTTGTGCGTCATCTTGGTACGAATACTTCCGGAGCGCCCAACATTTTTCCTACACTCGCAAAAAACGTCCTTAGTTACAGTCCTGGAATACCAATTAAAATAAAAATGTATACTCGCTTTCTCATTAACTGGTTTTGCATTGATCACGTTACAGGCAAATGCAAGACATTAATATTGAACGGTGACCGTACATTTGAACCCATGTACATTTGAACCCATGCGTATATCCACGGGTTCAATCTATATGCGGGTGCTAAAACCCATGGGTTAGGGTTAGTATGGGTTTACCTATCCGTGAAACAAAAAAAATTCCATAGGTGCAATAGCATACAGGTGCAATTGTCATGGGTTCAAATGTACGTGGGTTCAAATGTAATGGAACCATATTGAACAGTTTGTCTCCATAATAACGCTTCGACAGAATATTAATACAAGTAGGTTATGATCGACCCTTTCAACTTTCAAATACATTTGTTCAAAGAGAAACATTTTATCATAGAAATAACGTTAAACGTTTCTTATTTAACATAGTACAAGTTTTAATAACGCAAAACTAATGGAGCGGGTATAATTGCGTCAGTAACGCTTTGGCGAACATATATGAATCGCCAATATTACTATTATTTGATTTTAAGACAATAGTAGGAAAGCCACATGTTTCATATTTAACATAATACTAATCATAATGAAGTAAAACCTATGAAACAGGTATAATTGAGTCATTAATGCTTAATTAATAAAGACATAGTAGGCCAATAATTTTAGTATTGGACTTTATATATTATAAGACACTGTGTTTTGTTGCAACTTCTTGCCAAACTAGCTTATTATGCTAACCATTTGAACTATTCTCCATGCTATTGATCAGTTGTATATTTAATCTCATAGTCTCTTATACGATATATAATCGGTGAGGTTTTCATCGTGAACATTCTACCTCCCTATTTGTAAACTGTAATATCTGACACGAAATGGGAAAGTGAAATTGAACCGTTTCGGAAACTGAGCAAAGTCTGACTTGTCCGAAAGCTTGCTACAAATATGTTTTTTTTCGTATATATGTCATCAGCTTGCTTCATTTTCGTGTTCGCGTTGATTCTTGCAGTGTGAATATTGTCTGTGTTAAAGCTTATATATTTAAAGTTTATTCTCTATATCTGCCATGCTTGCTACATTAATATAACGTTAGAATCACATTTAATCAATTGAACTTTTAAAGATTGTTTACGGCGTCTCCAACAATAAAACTCTTTTCTGCCCTTCTCTTTTCATTGTATATTAGATAGGTTAAAAACAATAACAAATTGCTAAATCGTCTATTTGAACGTACTCCGTCCATATGTCTTCTGAATCTAACAAAACATTCTGTGCGTCAGTTGGATGATGAAACATTACATGTCTGCCGTTCTGAATATATTATTGGAACGCGTGTCGTTACTCGACAACCCAACCACAAATTTCTCGAATAACGTAATTTTTTTAAGAAAAATAAACACCGAAAGACATATTTAGAACTGACTACGGCCAAATTTACCAGAAAAATGTGATGAACTGAAGAAAAATATCATTTATTATTACTCTAAAATAATCACATAAATTAAATTATATATATATAGAATATAACGCCGTTTTATGTTTTATTTTTGTCGCGTATTGTAAATTTCTCCGGTGGGGTTAGCTGACAAAATTCAATTCATTTATGATCGAATGCATTTCTCTCATTTTGATAGCAAGTACAGCATGCCTTCTAGGCTAATAGTGATAACAAAACATATGTTGTGACATACACTGATTGTCAATGGTTGAGTCGCTGTTTCCAGTGATTGCATTACATTATCAAGAGAAGCTATTAATAAAAACTGGGCACTACGTTGTGCGAAATATGTAGTCCGAAAAAATCAGTTGTGCAGACAACTGACTGACCCAGTGCCTTGGTCATAAATAATACTGGATAATTATATCTCCCTATTACGGTCTTATTAAATGTATTAGAAATAATTAGATCATACTAAAATTGCTTTCATAGCACTTCCTGTACTCCGTAGTAGTGATTCTCGCACTAGTCCTCATATTTCGTCTTAACTTTGCCCTGACTTAATTTTATACAAAAAACAAAACAAAGTAGAAGGTGTTTATTGTGCACCAAACGCGTAAAAAACGTCCCAGACAGATATGCACTGAAGCGGTAAATCGGATCAACGGCGTACGTGCCGAGCGTTGGGAATACGCATGCCATCGCACCTCTGATTATTATTACCCTGCGTTCGCAGATTCGAATTCCGTAAGGGAATAATTATGTGCGAGCGGGGCGACTCGACGCCGTAGGGGGGTTCACGCAACCGATGGTTGGTTACGGCTTCCTTCCACATACCACTTCTTTTGACTACACCTTTCGATGTTAAATCTCTACGTTTCACGTTGATTATCACGGAACAAGTTTAATCTATGGTTTACGGTCTATCTATGGTTTATGGTTTAATAAAATGCCCTTCGTTTGTAGGACTCGAAGTTTTAAGAATAAACTCTGTCGAAATCGAACGCAAATTATTATGACCCGTTGATGACGTAGAGCTGAGAACTCACCGGCGTAATTTTGCATTAGGTTGGGTTGGAGGCATTTAATTTTCCTTCGTTCCT